CCCCCCCTCAAGTTCGAATCCATGTTTCTTAGGTAAGTTAAAAAAGGTAGGTAATGCAATAAAGCCACAGTTTTTTCCCCAGATGAGCCTCCGACTGTGATGTATCGTCCTCCACACCCAAATCCTCAGCAGTGTCCAGACACTGGCTGTATAAAGTTCGTTTCTTAACGGCCAACATATTCAGAGCCGTCACACTCTCGCAACCATGTCTACTAGTGTACTTTTTAAAGGGCACTCAGTATCCTTAAACTTGAACTTGTAGTGGTCTAGGCTTTGAAAATGAGGAAACCTTTGAGAGAAAAGTTCTTTACAACACCAGTGAGCCTAACCTACTGTAGCTAAATAAATAAATATGCACACCCATATATACACATACATCTATTTACTTACATGTATACATATATATACTTACACATATACACACACAGACATGCACACACCTAGAGGGTTGTAACACCAAGAAAAATTGGGCTGGTAAATAAGCCAGCCTTTGTGAAAACAGACCCAATCAACCCAAACTCCAATTGGCATAGCTTAGTTATTGCTGCAGACCTAGCCCTGCCCAAGGGTGCGAAGGGCAGGGGTACCAACAGAGATGGAGGGTCGCAGAAAACACTTGTTCTCCTCTCACGCCTTCCTTGAACCACCTGGGAAACTAATCAGAACTGCCAGAAGCATCAATTCTGGCAAATTATGCAGATGGTGGATGTGCGATTTGTCTCACCTGATGAACAGCACTTAAAGTTTACAGACTAAAATAGTGTACTGTTTTAGTAACACTTCAGCAATCGGAAGATTTAAAACAAAACTAAAAAGCAAGCATTAAAATTGGATGAAAATGCTGCCCGTTCTTCTGCAAAAGTAGGCCCATAATTCCATTTTTGTCTGGATTGCCGAGGGACTGCGTAAGACATTTCAGACAAACAAAGAAAAAACCAGAAAAGGAAATGAGTTCACTTTTGCAGGGTAACGAACATCACGAACAAAGAAGTCGCTCGGCACCCCTGCCTTCAGGTGCATTCTGCAAGGTACATGGGCACCGCAAGGGATGGCCATAAAAGACTGTTTAACCTAGAGAAGAGGATTACAGAGGATTGCTTGACCGTTCTCTGCTCGGCAATCTGGAAGTTGAATATCCTACGATCAGCAAACATTCCAGCCAGCAGGCATTTGCCATCGCTGCTGACATACAAAGGCAAAACTGCAGAGAGGGGAGTCTTTGACAGGGCTCAGAAAACAATGGCATATTTGGTCTTGTGCATTTTACACTGGAAGGTTATCATTTTGTTTCAAATTATTTCTTTTGAAGCTTTCCAGAGAGTATCTCAGATAAAGCAAAGAAAACAAATACGCAGTCTTTTCTGATGAAAGGGCAATGAACTTTTCCAGGGCAAGGAGATAACTGTCAGCCAAGTCAAGGAGGAGGATTTTCTTCCTTGCGGAACCTGCAGCCTTGCTTGCACTGATCCACATACAACTAACGGGCCCGTATTTTCAGGACAGTGAGGGGATTTAATGCCCTTGGAACCAAAGTTGTTGCCAAGCCCACCCATTAGCTGAGTCTGCACCCTGCACACCGCTGCTGATGATGCTATGAGCGGCTTTAGGTGCACAAGAAACTACGTCGTTCTAGGAGCGGTAATCTCCAGGTTTATTTTCAAAGGTAAGAAGATGACTCCAGATAACAGTGATACATTTTGCTGAACAGAGGTGTTTCCTCCTGACGTTGCAAAATACAACCTGTCGTAGGCTTGACTTTGTCGGTGCTCATCCACGCTAGAGATCGTTGCTGCAAGATGGTGAGACCTCCTGCACGGGCAAAGCACCCGCAGACAAAAGGAGTTTTTCAGTTGTTGTATCCACCTGCGACATCCAAACCAACTAAAGCCACCTACGTGGGAAAGCGAGGAATGAATGGCAGGACAGCATTCCACTAATATTCTTCAGTACAACTACGCCAGGAAAATGGTGTAGGGTTGGTCAGGCTTGGAAGCACGTTTGGGTTTTTTTTCCCCTACATGAATACTCCAGCCAATTTCAGAGATGACACAGGCGCTCCCGGCCAGAGGTTGCTGTCCCTCCAGCCCAACAGATTTCACTGCTGACTGCTTTCTAGAGGTCACTGCTGGAGACAGCAAGAAAAAACAGTGCACATCCCAAGGCTTTTGTACCAAGTTGTGGAATCACCATCCTTAGAGGCATTCAAGGTTTCACTGGGAAAGTCTTTGTGCAATGTGAGCTCGTTAGACGTGCTGGGAGCAGAGGCTGGGTTAGATGACCTTCAGAGGTCCCTTCCGACCTGAATTATTCCCTGACTCCACGAATCCCCTCCCTCCCGGAGAGTGACCGCTAAGCCCTGTCCTTCACTTCCTCTTCTTACACCAGATTTCAACCCAAAAAACAATCTCTTGTCCAATCTTGTGGCAGCTTAGTTTCTTTACAAAGTTTAATAAGCTTTGGAAAAAGCTTCTCAAAGGCTTTTTGAAAATGCAAGAGGATTATTATGCCCACACGACCCCCTTTATCGGCATACTTACTGCCCTTCCTCCAAATGCCAGTGATGCTCCACTTCACTGGAGCCTCTCCAACACCTTCCCAACAGACGACGTTCATCCACGTCTCCCTTGATCTCATTCTCTGTCACAGACTGTGTCGTCTCACCAGGATTGGCAGCCGGGCCCCCT